TATTTCGAGGAATCCTGGTCGTCCAATTTAAATGCAATTTACCGTTGAGTGTTCTGTAAATAGCGTGTCCAATGTCCAATATGTTTCCAATACGACATAAACGTTTTGTTGGAGAACGGCGAGCAGATAGGCTATGGAACGCCTTTCAGTTGAAAATTACAAGTAACTCTGATTTTCCGTAATGAAGATCTCCTGATATATTTGCACCGTTAAATATCACTTTCTGTCTTCCAAACATGTAATTAATACCCTCAGATCAATGTTTGTCCTCTGCGCGTATTCCAAAGTAAATAAGTCGATAATAGCAGCCCGTATTTTTAAGGTCACCGCATACGCTAGCGCGTACAGCAGCGCACGCACAGCCACCAGAACCGTGAGCGCTCCTTGAGTATTGAATAAAGCACTGTGGTGCACCTCCAGGTAGTTCAAATCACTGTGTACAGAACAGCATACGTTCAATACCAGATTAATATGTTGTCACTTGTGGATGAATTAGTTTAGTGGAGTTTCAGCTATCCAGACTGAGGACTTTGAAACGTTTTCAAAGTTTTATCTTTATGGTCAGAGGATAACGTGTGAAGTAAATCTTGAAGTCCACAGGTATATACTCTGACTGGCAACGTCCTCCGAGTCGTTTTCTTTTCTGAAAATGGAGCCGTGGATGTATCGATAACCATAAAGTGACGTTACCGTAAAAGAGGTCTTCATTGATGACCTTTTGTTATCAAAGTACGTATATCATATACCTTGATGTTAGGAAAAAATGCTCTAATTCTTCTCAGCGATCTTCAGTTTGCATTATCCCTAAACGCAAATGATACACCCCCCTTGGTACTGACTGATCGCCAGCAACAGAATATCAGTTAAACCAAAATCAATGTGGACAGCAACACAGAGTTAATCAAAATCTTTTCCGTTTCATTATAACCGTCAATGACCGACAGTTAAACCAGAAGTCTCTGGCGGACGAGTCCGTGCGGAATAAAGGTTTAATTTGGTCCTGGTGCTCGACGGCGATTCCTCTTTTAACCAAATGATCTATTCAGTCGCACAACACTACATTTTTCACCATTAACCTCTTCATATATATGAGCTCTGTACTATACGCGTGCTATATGTGTATAATAGTTCATCATATACGTGAATTTCTCCGAATGGTCAAGCGAACATCTCTTGCGTCCATCATATTGATTTGCCTCCTGGGAACCAATAATTCCCGGATGATCTTGTTCGTTTTACTTAAACCCTCAATCTCGCTTCACGCACTCCTTATTGGATCTCATCGAGGCAGTGGTAATTACGATTTGGCTACACGTCCGTACTGGCTATCGATTCCAGTAAGGTAATACATTTACTGTGTAATGTATATACGACTTTCTACGCTGTCTCTGGCATTCAAACTGTCGTGTCTTCGTCTTATCTGCTTGCGGTCTGTCACGACATCCTCATCCTCCTCGTCCTCCGATTCATCGTCATTTTCATCACCAAAGCTTGATTTGAGATGCGTAATGACCAAAGGTATAGGGAGTCAGGCTTACGCAGGGATTTCTTTCAGATTTTAGCGTGATTGGATTATGACACCGCTTACTAGCTGTGATGACCTTTGACGGTGACTTTCGCTCGGGAACAAACGATGCTACAATGTCAGCAAACCTTGCCCAATGTCACCTACACCGCCGTGACCTCAGGCTTAAGGTGAAGCGATAACCCTTCGAGGTTAACAATAGCAAGGCGGACGTGACTTCTTCAAGAATAACGATCATCCTATCGGTCGGACCAGGTAGACCTGGAGCTGTGATTCAAAATAACACAATAATGAATGTGATTCCACATGTATTCCCCCGACCTCAGCTCTCAATTGAAAACATCCACACAGGAATTCCTATTGCAGGTTATTCCAGGTCTAGCACGTGCGTGACGTCCAAATCGGAACGCTAATCTCAGCGTATCAAGCTTTAACATTAACATACACGTCTACCCGATAATCTATATCCGATAGTACCTAGTCTATTTGATATAATGCTGCTTTAACCTGATTTTCAGGTGAGCTGCGCCCGCAGCAATACTAGTATGTGTGTTAGTATTTCTCTACGCGTAAGCCCATAACAACGGTGTTATGGGATTCAGATCAGACTAGGGTCAGTGACCTCAAGAACAAACACCTTACATGCACTTGTAGTAATGTGATATTCACCTGTTCAGTGTTTGTATTTTGTCTATAGGAAAGTTATGCGAAAGAAACCCAGACAGCTCTTTCACTTTTAAAGTGCATGTACACTAGCTGTGTCTGCGAAGACAATACAGCTGATCGGTCATAACCTGCATCACCCTAGTTTTAAGGTCAAGGGATTAAAACAGATTAAAGGCAAGCATTTATCCCAGTGTGCGTTTATCAATACTGTGACCCGATTTTAAGGTGAACGGGTTTCAAACAACAGCGTGGTATAAGAGTTTTAAGTGTTCTTGAGTGTTGCATTATCAGCAGTCCTTTAGTTCTTTGTATTACTAGTACTGCATGTATGCGTTGCGGTAAAAAAGGTAGTTTTCGGTACTTGGGGCAATTGGTAGTTAATGAACGTTCGACAATGCGATGAGGGTCTGACGTACGGGTAGTTTCGGATCTGACCGCTTAAAGAAACGCTAGTCAGAGACATCAGTACATACTTCCAAACTCCTGCACCCCTGAGGTCCGCTTAAGCAATCAGCTTTTGAATCTGCTTAAGTAATGAACTGGTTAAGGTGTCAGTTGTGAGTTCAATGACGTCAGCTAGTATGTGACGTCAAAAGTTGAAGTTGAGAGATATGTGACAACAAAAATATAACGTCAGCCCGGCACAGCTGAAATTTCCCATTCAGTATCCTGATTTTAGCAATAACAAAAAATTCGTAGAGTACTGAAGTTCACGGGAGTTTTCCTTTCAGCAATGCGTCTTTTCTCTTAGGTGCAACATGTGAAACGTAAGTATTCGTAACGAGGCTTGCAAAAGCACTGCAGTATATATACATGTACAGTACATACGGAAAGTTATGAACTATTTCAAAAAGTAATAAATCTTTGCGCTCCAAGGTTACAAGTTGAGCAATTTTTATCTTACAGTAACACATGTATAAGAAATTATGCAAGTCCGATAAATAAATAAATACTTTGTTCCGCCCGTCTGATTTAACCTCTGCACTTGGTTGAGCAGAGAAATTGGAGTCACGCACCACGTAAGCGAAAACAGGTTCAGAGAGGATTTGTGGTGAAGTGGGAGAAAACTGCCCGTAATAAGATGAAATTGACCGGTAGAATGACCTTTCTGTTTAACCTTAACATATACCAAGGGGAATCTTGTGGTCCTAACATGGACATCTGTGTACGCAGTAGACGATATAGTCATTAATTATATGAGCACGTGTTTCTACAGCATAATGTCGGGCGGTTTGTGAAGTATTAGTACTTCAGGTATTCTGCCAGAAACGATTTGTAGCTGCTGATAACGTGTTTATATACAGAAACGCTCTCTGTATCTCGTATTTCCAGATATGCTGAATTCTATAGTTTACCTGAACATCATTCCGCACAGGTGAACGCAGGGTGATATGTAAACAGACAGCGTGGAGTACTCCCACTTAATATAATAATAATAATAATAATAAAATTAGCAAAAGTAATATTTGTAAAAGTCAATTTCGCACCTGTCTAATGGACCCCTACCCTCCCTCTCTCTCTCTCTCTCTCTCTCTCTGGCTGCTACAGCCTGTCAAGGGAATACGAGAACGAGTATATGTACCTTTATAGTTATAGCAGTCGGCGTACAGGGGTTATACGGGTTATACGGGGGGGAAGACGACGCGGATTTCTCCAATATCTGACACTTATCAGAGGCACTGAAGGCCAGGTTTTAAAAGGCCAAGTGAAAGTCTACATGTTAGAATTGATCTGTGAACATAACCTTTCCGCTCTCGCCTGCCATTTTCAAAGGTCGATCTATCAAAGATGTTTTCCTTTCAGTTGTTGTTTATGGAAACAAAATTTGCCGATTTGTTGACGAGGTTGGTTATCGTGGTGAATGCGCAAATTTCTGTAAATATTTCTTAGAGGTGTACACCATGTAGGCGTGGAATGCATTTTTGTGATAGTAACAAGACTTGTCAGTAGTTCAGATACCAGGATTTACTCATGAACAGCTTCTAACTAGCAACAAATTGCCTTACCATCACGAAAGTCATGCCTTATTCCCCCTCTCTCTCTCTCTCTCTCACACACACACACACACACACACACACACACACACACACACGTACTGAGTCTCTCTCCCCCCTCTCTCTCTCACACAGAAAAAAAAGACACAAAGTGCGTTTAAACACTATTTGATCCATTTCAAGATTTCTTTTCAAGTTGTCGTATGTTTTGCCATATGTTTGACATGTCCATGTTAAGACTCACAACATGCATATGACCCACCTCCTGTGAGAACGGGGACAGCCATCTTGCCCTTCCCACCACATCAATGATAAACCCCGCCCTGTGTACACTTGCAATGAACACAGCGATCTCGGAGCGACCATACTGATCTTAAAGCTTTCAGCGCACAACTGTATACATTATAAGGATTTATTACTATGTATTTTAACTTATTCTCTCATTCGGTTCCGTTCCCCCTGCTTAAGCTGTGTAATGATCTTAGAAGTTTTACATGTACATGTTGTATGTGCTGTCGCGATATTTTGATATCTAACTTTCCTTTCTTATTTTTTAATATTTCAACTGTTTCAAAGACCATCCTCACGAAAAACACGTTGACCATTGCTTCGGAAGGCAACACTCCGAAAATTAATCATTTCCTCTTTACAACAGTTCAGAAAATTACACAGAAAAAGAACACTTGCCGGCAAAAGTATAGATAATCTCATCCGGCCCAACGTTCGACAGAGCACTCTAGATCCGATATAATTCCCTGATCTGATCTTGTGTAAACTGTCCTTAGATATATGGCACTGATGTGTCCCAACCATCCCTGCACAGCTTTGCAATCAGTTAGATTACGTTGCAACAGTTGAAAAGATGGAGTATTTCTTGTTCCTCGCTGCTTTTTACAGTTTTGCCGCACTGGCGCATGGACAGGGTATGTTTCAGATGTTTTCAAACTCCATGTTTTGTCGGAACAAAAAATATCTTAATTTTCTAGACAAACACAGAGACATGATATGGTCTGTACAATGTAGAACTAAATTAACAGCAGTACCCTTGGAAGTCTGTTCCTCCAAATTCACCATATGTTTGTGTTTATTCGCAGATATATCATCGAAGCAATATATATTTTGATTAGTATTAAAAGAATCTGACAAGTTTTTGCTGTCGTAATATGGGATAAAAGTTAAAACACTGTGCGTTTATTTAATATTTTGTACCTCAATTACTTTCATTTTTATTTTCAAATGTTTACTCATTAATACCAGTTGAATATTCTAATCCGCTAAATGAACTACTTGTATGATACCGTAGGCTGCTCGATGAAGAATATAAATTTCAATGGAAATGATGCCTCCCAGTTTGGAGAAGAGGCGGCTTCATACGAGGAATGCGCCAATATATGTAAACAAGCGAAAACTTGCAGCATGTGGGCATATAATACCTTCTGGAAGAGGTCAGTCCCCACCTTTCTCTCTCTCTCTCTCTCTCTCTCTCTCTCTCTCACACACACACACACACACACACACACTTTACTTATGTGTTTTTATATTCACTGTATACCAATTTAATTGGACCAGCCCGTACATTAAACGAAACAATGAGTTTACAAATCATTTTCTTTGAATTATTCTTTTATAATCGATTCTAATATTATCATCTTTTATTTTATTATTATCTGTATCATCATAGCTTTTTCTCTTTCTCTCTCTTAAGATGCTATCCCAAGAAACCACTCGAAAACAACATGCCTTTGCCAAATGCCATTCTTTGGGACCTGGCTTCTGTCTCCGGATTCATTAACTGTCCTACAAGTGAGTGATCTGATTTCACTAATTTTTAAAAGGATATTCACAATTTTACGTGTATTACCGTCATGGCGTCGCTCTATGTATAACTGATGTTGAACAATTTGGTGTTAAAAAGATTAAAAAAAAAAAAAAAAAAAAAAAAAAAAACGAAGTGAGACGCCATTGATACAGGTGAGTTCAAAACTTCCACACAATCAGAAGCTTTATAAGTGTGATTATTATACATAATTATATTCAGCTGTTATTAACAATAAACACACCACATCATTTTCATGTATTTCCAGACTGTAAATTCCAGAACGTAAACTTCATGGGAGATATAGCAGTCGGTTTCCCTATCCAGAATATCACGGAGGAGATGTGTGAGCTCAGCTGTCGGAATGAAGCCGACTGTAAACTCTGGGTCTATAGGAGCGGGGAAAGAAAGTAAGGGATCAGTACCTATTTCATTTTTTCTATATCCAGCCTATATTTCGTTATCACTATTTTACGCGCAAACAGCGACAGTTCCCTAAAGGCTCGTTCCCACTGAGACTATCGGTCTACGTAGGTCGATCCAACTCCGCGGGGAATCTCGCTGAATGCTATCAGATTTACGTACATCCTCCTGGCGTTGAGTAGCATTCAGAAAAAGCTGGTGATTATACGAACACGTTGGAAATAAGAAAAAACGAGAAAGCGTGTGAATCTGTTAAGCTGATTGCATTAAGAGGAAGTTCGCGTGGAGTTGGATCGATTTACGTAGACCGATAGTCTCAATGGGAACGAGCTTTAAGGAATCTGCCACTGTTTGCGCGTAAAATAGTGATAACGAAATATAGGCTGGATAAACATGTAGAAAAAATGAAATAGGATGGAATAAAATAGACGAGATCACATAATGTCCGAAATTGATCGATATTTGTACAGTTGATAAAAATATAGCCACTTTTTGTGTAATTATTATTATTATTATCATTTTTATTTTTTATTTATTCTTTTTTATTTATTTATTATTATTTATTTATTTATTTATTTTTTTTTGCAAAAGACACCGTTAAGGTAAAATTATTCTAGGGCGGCGACCAAAATTAAATGAGTTATGTAATCGATCTCTATTTATTTAGTCACATGGCACTGCTGCTTCATTTCATTGTGTAATTGCCAGTGCTGCAGGTGCTTGTTTGAAATAATATTCTCCCATTGTGTGACGCAACAATAATGTAACTGTTTGTTGTAATGTGTCGTTGTTGTATTGGCACAGATGCATGTTGAAGACGTCAGTGATAGGACTCCCCAGTAATGCTGTCTGGTCAGGCGGTGACGTGGCCGGCTTCAAAAACTGCACTAACGGACTTGGAGGTAAATATATATACAGAGAGAGTGAGAGAGAGAGAGAGAGAGAGAGAGAGAGAGAGACTTACCGCTTCCAGAAACACTCGTGATTTAAAGTCTTTCATGTAACTCATTGAATAAAAACTAAAAGAAAAATATGAACATCATTACCATGACACAAAAGTGTAATGTACATTTTATTTATTTATATTTTTATAATCAAGAGAGAAAATATATTTTTCAGGGTTTGGACAATATATAATACTTCAATCGACTACAACCGGTCCAATTGTTGACAAGATCAATGAAACGATCCCAGTCATTGCAGTTGGTTAATCAAGACATTCTTTTGCTCATTTTTTATTGATTAATACTAATTTCCAATGCAAAAATAAGCTACGTCGAGATCTTTTAATTGGCGATTTATTAACACCGGTTTATCGTGAAACGATGCCAACATTGGTTTGTTTAGTTACACATGTTCTCATTGGTGGTTGGATTAGTGCCAGCTCGCATTTAGGCAGTTATCAGAATCTAACTATCATGTCAGATGTGAGGATAACTTCACCAAGAGTTACTGTGGTAATATGAGCCTGCACACGAATGATTGTAAATTTGTCTTACAAGAATTGCATCGATTGCAGTTTCTTACTGTTGATTTTAATAAAGCTTGTTGATTAAATATCGCATTTATTTTGAAAGAGAGAGAGAAAATGAGAAAGAGGGAGAGAGATGCAAAAGGTAGTTATCTTTAACAGCCTAGTTTTTTACAAGAGCATTAATTGCCAAAGCAACTGATCGGAGAGGTGTCATATGCCACACCCAACACATTCTATGGCATGCACTGGTATCACACCTAACACAATCCAAATGTCTCGTCAAGCCTTTATCCTCAGACCCAATGGCGGATTTAAGGGTGGGGGGAGGGGGTCCTGATTTATGAAAAAAACACACACCAATGGTCCCCTCTTGAAGTTAGATTGTTGACTAGCCGAATCATAGTTCTGAACCGTACCAAATGGCACAGTTCGCCATCTTAAAATACATGTAACACAATTTTCAGGGCCCGCTGAACCTACGCCAAAGGGGAGGGGGGGGGGGGGGTTGGCTTTGCATCGGCCTGTCATTTCTAAAAAACGGACCCGCCCCCCTTTCAAATAATCATGGACCCACCCCTGCGACATATCACAATCAGATAATATTTATTAAAATGCAATTTATTCTCTTAATGTTCTTTCTTGTGCTACAATGTATTTTAGATAGCAGAGTACTTTTACCTCCCACTCGCATTTAAACTTATATTTCACGTACATGTACACTGAGTATATATGTCTTACTTGACAGTTTCAATAGTCTTTGCTTGTCAATTGCAATTGAACTGTTTTAGATGAGAAAAAGATGTTATTTCGACAGAAGACAAAATAACAAACATAAACTTACAGCATGTGCTACTATGTTTATTAATTTTTAGAATTTTAAAATGAATCAAATTCCAATATTTTACAAAACGTCTATAAATCTCGTAAATGAGCAAAATGTTCATTAGCTCATCAATGAAAATTATGAAACACAAGCCAAAAATATCCATACCGAAGACAGTTGAAGACCAGAGTTAATGAAAAATCGGTGACTGTAAGCAATACCTGGTCTGCCATTTCTGAACATTTAATAGACACCTGCCACAATATTAACTGGAATTCAACCAAGACCCTTGAATCCGAGTCATCTGACACCCCATGCAAGATATGAGAGGCTACCTACATCAGCCATCACCAGCCACCCATGAATAGGGAGGGGTGAGTAAATCTACCAGATTAATAATAATAAGAATAAGTGGGCCTTGGCCGCTATACCACCTAGTGGTCAGTGAGTCTGAACATCTACTCACAGCAGTCTGATGAAGGCCTTCGTCCAGGTTGGCTGAAAGCTAATGGCAATAAAGTTTTTCGGCTTGTGTTTGATAATTTTCACTTATGATCTATAAATCTCATTGCTCAAAGTATTGCACACAGGTATAATTTTGACTAGAAATAAAGGTTAATTCTTATTTGAAGCACTAGTTTTTGTTATGTAAAAACACACGTACTGAGTGAAAGAATTACTAGACATAAATATAAATACAATGTATATTCATATAGCAAGACACAGAAATCAATACAAATCATGAAAAAATTATAAATAACATGAGGAATATATAATCACAATGTCAATGATATTTTTGTCACCAATATACACCTCCAGCAAAAAATGAGAATAAAAATATTTCAATGCTTTTCACCATCAATTCTTAAAATGTTTTACACATGACATGTTACAGACATGATAGCTATCAATAAGAAGTTAACATGGCCCTTTAAACATGTCTTCTTTCCCTTCAAAGGAACCACCCACCAACTGTAACAGCCTTTAAGTTTGCTGTATCATTTAATTCTTCAATAGTCTGCCTGTGCACTGTGTTTCAATTGATCGTCGTTACGAAAAAAATGAAATATATAACCCTAAATATGCACATTCATACAGACTGAACAAGCATGGAATGTATAAAACCTTCAGCTACGTACATAATGTGGCAAAAAATGAATTGTGTGATGCGTACAAATAATTTTCTAAAATGATAAAATTGGCTTAAATCAAGACTGCTGTTTTGTCCTCAGATAATCTGGGTAACCTCTACAAGCTGACTGCATCTGTGTCAAGAACTGAGGTACTCCAGTCTGGAAGAAGAAAACAAAATCCAAAGATGTGCAATCCCTCCTGCGCACTTGAAAATGCTTTACGCCCAAAGTGAGACAGTTTCAAAACTCACTAAACTGTAAATGTAACACAAGCATCCTTACCATGTCAACCATATCACGATGAAAGAAAAATGATTCATCTACTAACTGATCATAATAATATCATGGTTATTTTTTTATTAATAATTCTATTATCACAAAAACATTTTACATTAGCTGCCCCTGAGAAACTTCTACAGTGTTACAGATACAAATGCCACACAAGAGGGGCAGGAATCAATCATATTTCAGCAGCTGGGCAATATACAATATTTTTGTAAACTTTTAAAATTCATTTTTTGTCAAAATTGTTCTCATTGCATCCTGAAGGGATATATATTTTTCTTACCTTAGCCCCCCAATTGATCAGCCACGTTGGAATCATTCCCTTGGGATTGTCGTAATAATGCATAAAAGCTGAAATAACATCATCACATTTAATTTTTTTTTCATTTTAAATCATCAATGAATACAGATATAAATATAATTTTATATTGTGACTTCACATGTCACCTGTCTTCTTCTTTTAAGAAAAACTGTAAAGGTTACATCAGAAAATAGCCACTATAATGTTAGTCTTTTTAAAAATTAAAAACAACAGGTTTTGTTAAACCCACCTTTTGTACCTCCAGCGCCATTTGAGGTGAGAGCAGAGCTCTGGAAATAGTCATCCACTCGTATTACGCCTGGTATTTCTGGACAGCAGTTAAAGTTGGCACTCTTAGCTAACACACAGTAGATGTGTTTACTGTCCATGTCCACCTCTCTGAGCTCTCTCATGTACACATACTGTTGTTTAGGTCAAGGATAAAACTAAATGTTAAAGTTCAACATGATGAAAAGCTGTTGGTTACAAATTTAATCAAATCAGAATATTAAATAGTGACAAGTTTATATTTATCAAGTCCTTTCGATGTAAAAGAAAGATGAGAGAAAAAGTGAGAGATGTTTATGAAAGCAGTCACGTATATTGACTAAAACACCTTGTTTTCATCTAAATAATAATTCAAAATCAAAGTAATATATGAAAGAGAAGTATTGGAGTACCAGTAATATGACATACAAAAAAAAAAAAAAATAAAAAATAAATAGATAAATAAAATAAAATAAAATAAAATAAAAAAAACAATGATTTGCCCAAATTACTAACTCATCCCCCACACTTCCCCCATAAGGAGTATATTCATAATGCTTGTTAAAGGATACATCTCTGTTTGACATCATGAAAGGGAAATTAATCTGCCAGTAAATACCCTTGTTTATTCCTTCCTCTATTTCACGTAAATCTGAAATTATAGAAAAGTGTTATAATATTACCATGAACAACAACGAAGAAAAAAAAATAATAACTGTTGTGCAACAGTTACACTGTATAGCTCTATTCGGGTGTTCTCACCGATGTATCAAGGCTGTAGCTGACAATTTCAAAGGGGTGGGGTTCTTTCTATAACATTAAGAATACATTATTGTAATTGTGCGTCATTATTGCTAGTAGTGTTATGGTGCCTTGTTATAGTTGGATGTTGGTCAGTAAAATATCCATTCTTAGGTGTAGGTTTAATTTGTATGTTCCATGTAGTTTTTTTTTTTTTTTTTTTTAAATCTATTATATCTAGTATTGTATTTCTGTGACCATTTTATATTTGCTTGTACGCTATCGATGATCTGTACCTTGTATGTTAAGGTTCATTACGATCAATAAACATTCCATTATTCTTGATTCAACCTGAGAAAATAGCAACAAATCTTTACCACATTTTGGGGAAGAAAGGACCTTTTCCAAGACCAAATGACAGTTCTTCCCCCCCCCCCTCCCCCTTCTATCTAGCTATCATGTGGACCTGGTACCTGTGCATGTAATACTCCTTCTCTACCCCTGTTGCAATAGTGTCCAGTGTGTTATTAAAAAAAGAAAAAACCTTATCCATGTAGCTAATGGAGTATACAGGCACTCACCATCTTAACTAAATCTGATGAAGAGTGGGCCCTTTCCAAGCCAAAATGATGTTGTTTTCACCATCACTGCCCACCCCCCCCCACTCTCCCCCTCCCACTCCAGCCTCACATCATTCTACAGTATGCAGTATACCCACAGTGTGTTCTTTAATGAATCTCCATTTCCTGTATTAAGCACTCACCATTCACATAAGTGTCCCATATCTTCCTATACTCAGTATCCATATACACCTGTGCACACACATCAGGGTTGACATCCTTCAACTCACCAAATATCTTGTATTGATATAAACCTGACACCTGGAAATATGGAAACAATGTATTCAAGGGAAGTGATCGCACAATTCAATTATAAGACAAAATTCACCCAGATGTATCCAGAAACCAGAAACACTGTGTTTTGGTGCTGTATGGTTATGATGACCCCAAGACCCCCCCCCCCACACACACACAAACACACATGCACGCACACGCACACTATCTATACTGATCAGTATATGCTGTGCATCTTAGAGGCTTGCAAAAATCAGACTCAGCATTTTGAGATATTTCGGGTCAGGACAATGTTTGAATTACACAAAGATTGAGCTAAGCATAGTTAACGTCAGCTACATGTACTAGTAGGGCCTACTGCAGTACGTACCGGTATGTACAGTACCAGTAAACTATGCATGTACTGTACTTGGGGTACAAGGTTAAACGTCCTTGTCGGGTATATTCAATGTTTATTTAAATGCCTTAGAGAAAAAAGCGCATATGAAAGTTAATCTCCCCTCACTATTATCCTCAGCTTTTAACCCAACAATAACTAAATACTCGACCTGGCAAAAAGGGGGTGTTGGTCCGTAAGTTTACCTTGTTATATTGTCTGTAAATTGTCACATCATGTGACTCGACAAAGAACTCCCAACCTTCCGACTCCGGCAGGTAGGGGTGTTCCAGTTCCCTGCACACTTTATCAAACTCTAAATCTGTGAACATGGCCACGTTTTCTGTTATAACGATGGCCTGTTATCCGGCGGGGAAAAGAATGAATGGAATGGACATGTGTAGCTATCAACAAACACATGTATAGATGGCGATCGTGTCAGTTTGTTTTCCTATATCACGTGCAAGATAATACTGACTGGAACTTGAAAACGTAATTTGTCAGATATCAGGAAAAAATTAAGGTGTCATTTCAGGTAAAAGAATCGAATTTATGATTCTCGATTTCATAGGTAGATCTACTACATGTACTTTTCCAAGTAAAGTACGTATATTCCTCTACTCTGCGTGCTGCATTTCAGGTTTTAAGTGGTGGTTTTATTTTTTTCCTGGGAATCTAGCCAAGGATTTAAAACACTACACGGTATATAAACTTAAAAGGTATATAATGAAAAGGGTTTATATAAGTTCCGTACTAATTTTGTACCAAAACGTCTGCACTGACTTTCCTGGTAAACACTAGTGTGCTGTTAATTCCTCTGACATAGGGTAATAAACCAGGGCCGTAGCCTGAGCAAAATGAGGCTACGGCCCTGTAAACGCCTATCGAATCCAGTCAAAGCTTGGTCCGTTAAGCATAAATATACCGGGTACTGAGAAGGTGGTTTTTCATGTGTTATAAAATAAATAAATAAATAAATAAATAAATAAATAGGCACATCAAATTAAGATAAAGAAAATGAAGGGAAATAAAATAATAATAAAAAACCGATAGAAAAACTCCTTACTTTATATCCTTAATGAAACGCCCGTCAAATCATTAAACAACTTTTTTATAGTTAATACCCATAGGCCTAGGCTACTGGTAGCTTAACTAGTTAAGTGCGTACACACTGAACACGAGTGCATGAAAGATAATATCGTAACGAATATTGGTAAGTCTTCCATTTTCAAAGGCAAGTTCACAGTGAAATCGTTTTGTTTAATGCTTTTCCAAGACAAGAAACGAAAGGGACGCACTTAGCAGATTAATAGCTCGCTTTGAAGTTTGTCACGTTGTGTTACTGAAAGATGGTATGAAATGCCACCTGACATCATGCAACCTGACATGACATTACAAATACTTTACCAGCTGCCTTAAGCTGTGCCATTTTGAAACTACATGTATCTACAAAATCAGTAATATAAATTCAGTTTTTTTTTCTTTCATGCTTCAATTGAAATCAATTGATTTGCTACATAAAGATAACTTTGAATATGGTAGACACATATTCACGTGTTGTTTTTGATATGTATGTTGATTTCATGCGAAAAATTGAATTGTTGAATATATATATTTTTTCTTTTTTCAATTAAAAAAATAAAATAAAAATCACAGTTGTATTAAAAAGCGTTTCGTAACAAACAAGGTCCTTAACGTTTTCCTTTTCTGGTCAAACAGGGAAGTCACTTAAAGTAAAACCATACAGAATGCAATTCGCCAAATTCCAATTGTATATACTGGCTATGTTTTGACAAATACTTTAGGTTCTGATACCTTTTCATCACTTTGTATGTGGTATAAAAGATAACTAACACCTTTCCTTTGGCCCAGAAACCCACGTTTCTCAGTAAAACTGACATCCAAACAATTTTCGTCGTCAGTGAAATACTATTCGCATTTTAAAACTTATTTTCATTAATGGAAAAAAATGACGAATCGTCAGTGGCCGCAGGTGCTTATGAGAGAAATTTCTTGCAATTGCTCTCCAGGCGTTGAGTGGCAATTAACAATCAAGTGTGGGCGTGGGAGTACGTTCTGTGTTTTATAGGAGAGAAAGAGAGAGAGAGATCATTGCTGCACCGAAATTACAAGCAAGGTTACTCTGGGTGGTCGGCAGTGACAACATTGGTCAATATGACAGAATAAAAACAGAAAATAAAAAGTAACGTTCAGCAGATCAGTGGCGGATTTAGGCGGTGGGTGGTGGTGGGTGG